TTTTTTTTTTCGCCATTTGAGCCTGGAATGTTCTTACCATTTCTGGCACTTCAATAGCCTGCGCTCCTTTTATCCCCCGCCCGCCGGCTCTCGCTCCCCCTTCCCATCTCCGTCGTTTTTCGCCTGCTACGCAAGCTAACACTTCAATGAATCAATGCCGGGTTGACAACAAACTTATTAGGGCACATAAAACCGAATGTTTCTACAATGAACCATTTAATAAGACAAGCTCAAGGTTTATGCACAAGTATGCTCCTAAAACTATTTGGTTACTGTACTGTATAGACTCAGGTTTTTGTATGTTAGCAGAGTTCATACCGTTGTTTACAAAATTGATAAAATAAACTTCCTCAGGTGATTCTCAGCCTGGGGCATGTTAGTCCACTTCTCGCCCTCTCTCGGGAGCATGGCATTGCATGACGGAGAGAGGGCCAATACTGGACTAGGGATGTTCTTAAAACTTAGGGTTAATCTGAGCCTCAGAGTAAAGGTTCTTCAGTGAGACAAAGAAATAAAAAGAGCAATAACAAGATCAACAACACTGACCATTCAGTGAGCTGCCAAGGGCTATGAGTGTTTTGCTGTCACCCAGCTCTGAGCTGGTTATTACCACTGTCTTTGTGCCCCTTTCATGTAGTATTTTCATTGCCTTCACATGAAGAAACAGCATAGAAGTAAATTGATAAAAGAACTGTTAAAAAGCAACACTAACTCCTCAAGATTTTTCTTTTAAACGAAGTCAGTTATGAAATACCCATTAATGAGAATTTTGATTTCTTTGTTTGTATTAAACTTCCACGAGAATCAAGCCAAAATTCAAATTTGACTAAAATAATAATCTCTTACTAACCAAGAGCGAGGGTTATACTGGGGAATATTGGCCTAATGTTGTGGCAGTACGGAGCAAGTGCAGCACCAAACAATTTATAATTTATTTTTAGGTATTTGGGGGGATTGTGTTCCCACAGGGATTCCACAGGGAGTTACAAGGAGACTTGTTACTTGGCTCCATTAAAATCCCTGAATTTGGTGTAACTCTGGCAAGATGTTTGAATCAGAGTTGTGTTTCTGCCATGCAACAGTCAAAGCTAAATTTATGCAATTAAGTTTGGCATGGCAGTAGCAGTACAATGTCTGAACTGGGCCTGGTTGTTTTTTTGTAAGGTACCGGATGTTACCTTAAAAGCTTCACTTTCATTGGTTATCTTCACACCACTTAAAAGCCTATTAAAAAAAAGCTCACACAAATTATGTTAATTTATAAACCAAATGTTGGGGTAATGGTCAAAGGTCATGATCAGTTGATATGACATCAGTCTATTTCTAATTAGTTCCATCAGGTTTCTCATTTCTCCCAAGTTTGAGAAACACAAGGGGAAGTTTAAGAGGGTGAGAAATGCTGTGGAAAGTCACAGTTTTCCAAAACTTTAAAGAGTATTTCTACAACTCAGTAATTTTTGTTTTGGTGTGTCGGTGTTTTCACCAGGACAAACTCCAAAGAAACAAGTTAGAGACTCTTTGCTTTTTTGAACATCAAAATGTAGATTAATTCTTTCTTCAATAAAGCTTGCCCTAGTTCTGGGTTTCATGATTCAGCATTGCTCATGGCTACAGGGAAGAGATTATTTGTGTGACTAACAGGCTGGATAATAATAAATTGAGCCCATCTGGTTTTTCACCGTGGTTTCATTAACGTCTTCATTAGGAAGGTAATTGGTTTTCACAGGGAGGCAAACCTTTTTGAACTGAACTTCTCTACAAGAAAAAAAAACATTTCTCTAGATGGCCAAACCAGTCACACAATTAATCATCCTCAATTTCCCTGGTGTCTGGCCCTTAATGAAACCCCTGTTTTCAAGTTACTCACTCTGCTTCAAATTGATTTGGTGTTATAATATCAGCCATTGGAAGCAACTGATCTCTGTACACTGGCATTAACTCTTCAGGAACATACTGATACAAAGAGTAAAGAAATGTTAATTAGAATGTTTCATAAACTAAGTGGAATTAGCATGACAAATGTAAAGAGTATGGAATACGCTGTTCAAGAAAATATCAATACCCCCAGTGGAGTCGTTTAGTGATTTTCATTCCCTCTGGAATTTTCAGTTAGCTTCATACTGTGCGAAACAATTTTGGAATTCTGAGACTCCCCTTCATCTGTTCAGAGTTTTCAGTGAACTTAAATGGGGTGCGCATGTAGATGTAATTTTTCTGGAAGTGCACTTGTAAGCACTACACAAGTGACTTTGGGAGAACTCAAATTTTCGCAAAAAAGCTATCCTATATGTGCTGCATAGTCACCTAATGGTTAGCCTTATGAACTTCAGTCTATAAACATGCAAAAACAAGACAATTTGACGCTAATAAAGTCAACCAAAGAAGCTTGGTCAATAAAAGATTCATTATAAGGCATGCTGGACACCATTTTCTCATGGGTTACAGCAGGCAAGACAAGATGGGCCCATTTGGCCTGTTTGCTTAGCCAATCACAGAACAACATTTGGTTCATCTTGCCTGCTCGCGGAGTTAGTCATAATAATTCTAGTCACATTATGGACACTGGGACAAGCTCTGGCTGTTAGGACTGCTTTGGCCTTAGCAGAGAAGTTTTATCTTTGAAAAGTTTCCATAAACCCTTAGGTCTATAACTTGGGTTCATAAATGATAATCGTAAATTATACCCTGGCTATACCCTAGTTTAGCATCATAATCCATTGGCAACGTTATCACACAATAAAGTTGATTCATGCTTTTAGCTGTGCATCACTGAGTTATAATACTGAAGAGCAATCAAGAAGCTAGAGTTGATCTTGGCTACTTCTCAAACAACTCTTATGCTTCTTTCATGCCTTCCAAACTTTCCATGGGCATAAAGAGGGGGACATGGGGAGGGTATGAACACCACAACACTGCAAAAAAAATTAACGAACACCGCATCACCGCAAGAAAAGTCAACGAAACACCATCACTGCAACACATATTTTTAGCACCATGATTCGTTCATCTACACTTAAAATAATACTTTTACACCTCAACAGTTTTTCACAAAATAAACACATCACAACGCTTTTCATTGCACATATGTCGATACTTCTGATGCCTGTAAATCAGTTTTCTTGCTGTTGTGAAGAAACCTTGCACGAAACTAGGAAGCGGACAAAGAAAAAAGAGAGGAGCCTCGAGAGATGGCTTTTACCTCCAGATCCCTCTCTTCTTTTACTTCGCTCACTTTTCTTGGTGTATAAACCCTCTGACTGAAGCCCTATCTTGACTGAAAGTATTGCTTTCCGGAGCTAGCTGTGTTTGCGTTCAATATCGATCATCGTTTGAAAAAATGGAAGGTCAAGAAAGTCGCAGGACCTTGGAGCAGGTATAGACTGGTATCAGAATGACCTATAGATGAAGCTGAATAGCAAAAGGAAAAAAATAGTAAACGTGTGTAATTTACAAAGCTTCCTTAGCTTAGAAAGCCTTCTTTCTTCCCTGCCCATGCAACATCTGAACATATTTTGTGGCCGGTAGTTTTCACCACCCTTTCCTTTTTTCGTAGAAAAAAACTGCGCAGTCAATATTACATTATATTCGGCCTTGGCGTTTCCAGAATTTTCAGGATTGTTTCTGTCCTCGCTCCTCCACGTGTCTACCGAACACTGAGCTTCGGGTGGCAGAGGTCGAGTTACTTGTCAAGTTACGTATAAATGAAAACAGCTTTGGATTGGCTGCTGAAGCATATTGAAGATTGACTAGAAAGTGATGGTCTGTATTTTGTTACAAATTATTAACCTCAATGGTACGTGTTTGTCATAAATTAGCATGGATTAACGAAGTTTACATGCTAAATTTAGGTCAAATTTAGGTTTGAGAAAGGCAAATAAAAAAACCCTGGCCAGCGCTGCAAACAATTTCATTTCACTGAACACCGCAGTGTGAAAAACACAAACATCGCACACCGTAGGGTTTGAGATCACCACAACACTGCAAGTTGAGATTTTATTCACCACATCACCCCATTAAAAAAACATCAACACCGCAACACTGCATATCCCCATGTCTCCCTCCATAAAAGCTGGATGACTGATATTAAAACATGAATCAATTACTGTGAGGTAAAAGTTGAAATTTTTTTACTCACAAATTTGCCTGCATCTCCCATGACAGGATCACAAACTTAAAAAATAAATAAACAACTGTTAACTCAATTTCAACGGATATAATGAGAGCAAATGCAGTGGACAATTATTATGTAAGTAGACTTCTTTGGTACCAAAAAATGTGTTCACTTTCAAGAGAGATTATCACTCATGGTAAACTTTGCATCAAGCCAAGTCCATGTTCAACTATAGCACAAAGAGCATCCTTTTACATACCAAACACTAAGTTGGGATTGGCTTTTCTTAGCTGATGTACAACTTGCAGTACCTCCTCTAAAAATGATTTAGAACCTACATAACCTGAAAAAAGGAATGAAAAATATGTCATGAAAATAAGGCACCTACAAACATGCTCTCTCATTCTCTTCTGGAAGTATTCATAAGGGTCATGAACCTTTAGGTCCTGCATCAAGAGGAAGACAACATGCTTCGAAGACCTTATTAGCACTGTTATGCGACCAAGACTTANTGTAAGTAGACTTCTTTGGTACCAAAAAATGTGTTCACTTTCAAGAGAGATGATCACTCATGGTAAACTTTGCATCAAGCCAAGTCCATGTTCAACTATAGCACAAAGAGCATCCTTTTACATACCAAACACTAAGTTGGGATTGGCGTTTCTTAGCTGATGTACAACTTGCAGTACCTCCTCTAAAAATGATTTAGAACCTACATAACCTGAAAAAAAGGAATGAAAAATATGTCATGAAAATAAGGCACCTACGAACATGCTCTCTCATTCTCTTCTGGAAGTATTCATAAGGGTCATGAACCTTTAGGTCCTGCATCAAGAGGAAGACAAGGAGCTTTTAAGACCTTATTAGCACTGTTATGCGACCAAGACTTAGTGTTCTCTGTGCTGCATTCCATTTATTCTCAGTAATCACCAGTAATCATGTAACCCTTCTGCATCAAGTACGTTAAAATGAGGGCTTGTTTGTTTGTTTGTTTGTTTATTTTTTTCCATTAATAAATATTTAAAAAATACCAATGTATAAGGCAAGGAAGCCCAGGGAAGCTGATAGGGCTTATGTAAAGGACTACCTTAAAGATACCAAAGACTTAACAAATAGAATACAAATCCTGTCATCGGCACAAAGTGATCATAAATTAGGATAAAAAATTTGTACTCCTGGAAGTTCTAATACACACTTGCTGGCACTTATTATGTTATGATATATTACAATTCTACCTGTCAGAAGGTGAGAGAAATGGTGTAAATTGTTCAGCCTGAGTCCTTCAAACAAGACTTTGAGTTCCTTAGCATCCAAAACTTGACCTTGAACATGTTCATATCCTAGAAACAAACCAACAAACTACAGAATAAGAACAAATTTTGCTAAGATCACAATTTTTTGTGAAGTATGACGCTAAGTTACCAGGGACCACATTAAATAATGAACCTGGTCAAGAATGCATGGAGATGAGTGAAGACCCCAAAAAATCATAGCACACCGATGGTTTATATTTTCAGCAAGAATAAATTTTACAAAAACTTTTAAGACCTAGCTGGTTAAAACTGATTATGGAAAAAAGTTTCAGACTATGAGACGGTATAAGGCAAAGACTCTCTTANCGAGACGGTATAAGGCAATGACTCTCTTAAGAAATTCTCATGTACTTAACCAATCACTGCACTAATCAAATAAAACATTTTGTAAAAAAAGGCACAATGAAGCAGCAGTTATATTAACAAAATGGACACAGGTTTTGCTGCGTCAGTTGATCACTCAGTTAATCACTCATGCTAATAATTATTATAATTGCAAAATATAAATAAATGTTGGTCTTTTATGGTTGTTCTTCTTGCCATTATCATACAAACTTTAAAAAATAGTTAAAAGGTCTAGTCAAACAAACCAGTATGGTTAGAGAGTTGAACCGAATTGATCGTGTCAACATCAAAACCAAGAACCTGAAAATAACAACAATAAGTAAGAAAGTCTCCTCACTCTTAACACTAAAATAACAATTCCCCTGAGTAAGGTAAAGTCTGCATACAAGCCAAGTGGCTCATCAGGCTGGAGCTTANCCTGAAAATAACAACAATAAGTAAGAAAGTCTCCTCACTCTTAACACTAAAATAACAATTCCCCTGAGTAAGGTAAAGTCTGCATACAAGCCAAGTGGCTCATCAGGCTGGAGCTTATCCCGGTTTTAATAGCATGATTAATGAACTGACTAGGAGTATTTCTACTCCCCCCTGGATGGGATGCTAGTCCATCGCAGGGTTACCCCCAGCATTAAATTCGCCAGTGCCCATTTTATACACCTGGGTGGAGAGAGGCACTGTGAGAGTAAAGTGTCCTGCCCAAGAACACAACACAATGTCCCCAGCCAGGGCTCAAACCCAGGCCGCCTGCTCCAGTGTCAAGGGCACTAACCATGAGGCCACCGCACCTCCCACAATTCCCCTAAGTGATTTTAATTTATTTTAGTGTTAGGGCACAGGGAAGTCTGTGTCGCACAAGCATCCTATACTGTCAGAGTTAATTCATGTTTCTGCAGCATTTTTATAAGCGACTAAGAGTATTTAACTCTCATGGGCATGTTTAAAACACAAAAGGGCAAAATGACGTAATAGCTCTATGGTTTACAACGTTAGCTTTAATAGTGCTCCCGTTAACCTAGTTAGCCTACACTGTAAACATCACTCCAATTAGCTAAATAATGTTCACAAAATTATTTTAAAATGTTTTCCAAGGAGACCTCTCTAGATCCAAACACTTTGTTGGTTTCAGAAAAACTGTTATTCCTCCACCAAGCCATGTACCGAGTGTCAGTGTTCATAAATATCTCACAGTATAGAACATTGCACCCCGGGAGGGACTCCCATGGAAAAAGGACAGGGGTACATGTCCTACCTTTAAAGAGTTAAAAAAAAAAGGTTTTAGTACCTCTTAGGGCGTTTAGCCTTAAAAGGTCCACAGCAGGAGCTTTTGCAGTACCTTTTAGGGTATTGAGCTGAAAAAATGTGACAGGATATATAATGTGTTGTTTTAGATTTGGTACCACTTAGGGGTGGAATAAATTTCAAGCCACGTCCACAAAAGAGTATCTTGGTACCTCTTAGGGTTTTTTTTCAAAATTTCTCACATGGAACCCCGTCTTTTTTATATGGGAGTTCCCCCTGGGATTCCACCAGCACTGATTGGCTGATTTTAGGCATTGCTTTTCTCAGCTGTCTTAGTCATGTTATCACAACCAATAACAAAATAATATCTATAATCACTAGTCAGTCAATGAGCATCTGATGGTGTGCATTTTTGAGAAAGTGTTAAAGAAAAGGATTAAGACCAAGTACCAATGTTATCCCACAAGAGGGATGCAGGCAAGAGGTGGGGATTTGTTGCCTAGGACCATTCCTCCAGTTGGACTTTTGATCGTGGGATTGGGTCCCAGGGCCGGGAAATTTGACTTTGATTGATAACCCTTGTATCATAATTTAGACACAGTTACCAGGTCTGTCTCTCACAGCTTTAGGGAAAGATCAGTTTTTATTATTTTGTGTTCATAGCCATTTATCTGACACTTTAGACTGCCATCTAATTAGATACAGTGGAACCTCCAGTTGCGGCCACCTCTCATAAGTGACCACCTCTCCTGAGTGACCAGTTTTCCAAAATACTGAAAGTTTCCAAGTCAAATGACTACAGTTGGAACCTCTTGTAAGCGACCACCTCTTGTAAGCAACCACCGACACTTTTAGAGCTAACAGTTTGAAATTTTCTTTTGTTCTTAACCTTCCGTAAGTCACTACTTGACAGATAATAGGGCAGAAATTGGATAATAAAATGTTGTAACATTATTGCATTCCTTGCTAGTACGAGAGACGGAAATTTCTCAATGGCAAGTACTGAATATTTTCTCAAAATTGACTTTTCACATGAATAAAATGTTTAAAACATGGGGTAAGTCTCTGCAGTTACCATATGTGACCAGCAACCGTAAGCAACCATCTAGGCTTGAACATTTTGGGTGGTCCCTTACAAGAGGTTTGACTGTATTGTCTAGTTTGAGAAAGTCTTGTTTTTCTATTACTTTCTAGACTGCTGGCAGGCAGTTTTTTCTCTAAGGGTCACTAAGATGAGTGTTTGGTGATTGTGAATGCAAAAGGGTGATATGCCCGTGGTCGAGTAGGGAAGAAGGTGAGACAAAAATTCTTCTTGTGTGTGCCGCACCCATGTCTGGTCCCATTCCCCTTTAGGCTAAAGCGTCTTGCCTCATAACCCCTGCTGAATTTCGATAGAAAAACAGACTGCAGTCTATTTATTTTCAAGTACACATCCAGTTGTAACATCCAGTGAAATCAAATTTCACCTTTAAAGTCAGAAATTCAGAATACCCGGCCACTTTAATTACATGTGCCAGTGTGCTTTGAAGAACAAGGTATATAACAATAGTTGCTATTCTTATTCAATGAGATGCTAAAGTGGCCAGGTATTCTGGAGTTTAGCCCAAATACTTGTCTCGAAATTCTTTAGGGGGTAGAATATTTTCACGTGCGCTTTCGAAGGAAACAAGCCAACAACTTCAGTAAAATCAAAAGCTGTTCTAATAATGATCAGTTTGCCTGATGTAAGTGTATTGTGGCTATTGTTTTCTTTAAGCACAATACACATGGTGTACAGTGTGGGGCCCAGTTCTGAGCCACTTTTTGTTCAGCATTTATTTTTCACGCCACAAATGAATCTGAATAAAAACCAATTGTTTACAAAGGTAGCTTGATTCCTTGTCTTCCATTCTGCCAAGTTTTGTTTCGTCCTGCCAAGTTTTTCTGTGAGCACTTTGAGGTGACGCGAAGGTAGGTGAATTTGGTTTCCCCGAAAACGTGTTTGTTTACTGCTACTCGAATTACATGGTTTAATTCAAGTTTATATTTTGTCCGTCTTGAAAGCCCAAATGAGCCAATTCTTGGCATAAAGGATGTAGAGTGATAAAGCTATCTGTTAAATATAAACTTTTCCTGGCCTGTTTAATTCTTTGACCTAAATTCTCTTCTCAATATTTCCTTAGTACTTTTGCTTATTTGCCTATTCTCGGCCACCCTGCTCGCCTTCAAAACTAAAAGCGCTCATAGTTTTGTGTGGAGTATTTGAAAATACATTTACAGCCAATGAATGTCAAAGGAAGGTATTGTTTATCTTTTGATGATTTTGAATGTTAAGACATTTTCAAGTGTTATTCTTGAACGTTCCCTACGCGTAAATGAAGGTCATATTGGTGTTAATGAGAGTATATTGACCATAATGAAACAAATTTGGACCCGAATGAATGGATATTTCCTGTAAATGAACAGCAAAAGGTGTAAACTCTTAAAGGAGACCAGCCTGGGCCTCTCTCGAGCTCTATTTTACCCCTAAAAGATACTACTTAAAAACAAAATTACAACGTTTTTTATTGTAATTTCTTCGAGTGCACCCTAATAGATTCTTTGACGGCCAAAAATAAGGGCGTTTCGTCATGAACACCCTAAGTTAGACCAAAATTAGTGATTTACACCACTACTAAGCGAGACGACAACCCTCCCCCTTAAAATGGGAGGGGCCCGGGCACATTACTAGATGAGAAACCAGAAACTGCAAGGGACCGCATACGATAAACGCTGCCAACTTAGGATCTACAAGAGATCTGATCAGCCAAAAAATGTATGAAGACAAACAATAAACTGCAAGACTGATACTACGTGAAAAACGTTTCGAGACACCAACATGACAAGAACCGATAAAGTAGGATCGCAACAGTGGACAGCTGTTTCGCCCTTCTTGGGGCTCGTCAGCACTGTGTAGCGAAGACATGTAACGCCAGCTCAACAGCCAACGCACATAAATTGCAAAATGACCCTTTCACTATATCAAGTTCCGTACTTTGAACTCACATGCACCCCGAAACACGCGTTTACTAGAACCCCAGTTTGCTTGGATACATTTCAAACGAGGTATTTCAGTTTAGGAAAGGTACGGCTAACCATGTTCTTTCTTTTACTAGGCCACCTTTCAAGCCAAAATATTCATTTGACAATAAAGTCTTTGGGTACACCTGAAGGGGCCGATTTAGGGAGGGGATGGGGGAAGCAAAACACAAGAAGTTTGAAAAGGGTTGTGAATATTATGGCAAAAATAAAGGCGAACTCTCCGGACAGATACCTCATTACTGATTTCTATTTTGTGGCATTGCTCGTGTTTCTGGTGAAACCGTTTTCACTTAGGTTCCAATTCTCAAATTGCAACACTTTAGGAACATTCCCTATTGATTCTGCAGCCCCAAATTACCAACCCCACCCCCCTTGAAAACTGC